CACTAGGTTCCTCCTCTGGTCTCTTATACGTGTTCATATACCCTGTCCTCCTTCTTGGCACTTATCATTTTAAGTTATGTTTCTTTCTTTCTTCATTGTCTATGTACCTGTGGGATTGCACCAAGAGCTCCACGGAGGCAAAGTCAGTGTCTGGCTTGTTTGCCTCACCTGTGGAATGTATGAACTGCATGCAAGAAAGGTGCCCATACATGTGGGGACTTTATATATAAAAATCTACCTTGAGTACAAGATGACCATCTCACTGGTGCCGAGTGAAGAACCACTGGATTGACTCGCAAATAATGCCCCAGGGAAGAGATGACCCTTTTTTCAACACATGCAAATCACCGGCCTCTGGCGCCAGAAAGGTTGTCATCTACTCTGAGGGGAACACTTCACAGCCATGGTCCATTCTAATGCCAGAAGCCCACTCTCATTCCTTGTATGCCTACCTTTCAGCCTGGCCAAGAAATACTGCAACAACCTCCTAATTAAGTTCTTTGCCTCCAGCCTTTTCTGGTCACCCCACTTCTTTGCTTCAAATCTCCCAGCAGCTTACAATTCATCCACCCATCCATCCATTCAATTATTAAACTATCAAATTATCAAACTATCAAATTATCAAACTATTAAATTATTAAACTATTTTGAGAGTTTATTTTAGGCACTGTTCTAGGTGTAGGAAAAAAGAAGACAAGATCCCTGCTCTCATAGAACTTACATTCTAAGGGAGTCAGAATAAAGTCCTACCAGATAAAGCTCCACTGCCTTATGTTGGCATTCATGGCCCATGTTTGTGTCTTTTCTCCACCTGTATCTCTGGACACCACTTTTCACTGACTCTCCATCCAAGTACACCTCAGGTGAGGATGCTGAAGTTCAAAGTTCAAGGGTGGTCTTAGCTGAGACATATGACCACTAAGCACTGAAGTTGGGATTTAATCCATATACTATGGTTTCACAGTTTGGTCCTCTTGTATGTATATTCCAAGTCCTGGGCACACAGTAGCAGCTCAAAAGCTACTTTTTGGTGGATCTATTTCATAGTCCAGTGTTTATTTTTCCTTTGATACCATTCCAGGACAGGGCATCTTTCTTCCGGCTAAAACAACAGTTCATAGTTTGCTTTCACAGCTTCTATCATCAGGTCCAAGAGTAACCCTATTCGATGGAGAACCTGTGTGAAGGACTGGGCGGGGCGCTTGAGAGGCCTTTGTGCACTGAGACTCAGGGGCTCCAGATTTGCTATAGGTTCCTGGTTTCCAGGGCTTTAACAATTCCGTGGGATACTGGCCAGTCCAGGTGTGAATGTAGTTTTCCCAAGGTTTGTCAGCCCCAAATTATCTTGCTTTTTCCTGGAAGTTTAGGCTAATGTGTCCTGGAGTGCAAAGAAAGAAGGATGTTGGAACAGGTTCAGAGATGAGGTATCCAAACTTAAAAGAACAGAATTTGCCCCCCCCACCCCCCGCCTTTGGGCACTTAGGGCAATATGGAGCAGGCATTGGCTTCACCTTTTTTTTTGCAATTCCCTGGTGGGAGCCTGAAACTGTGTCTTCTCCTGCTGGTCCTCCCCATGCATTCACACCAGACTGTTCCCCAGACTCCCTTGGCAAGTTTGGCCTGCTTCTGCAGGTAGGTTCAGCCCCCCCTTCCTCTGGGCAACCAGAGCCCCAGCTCAGCCTTGTTACTGAGAAGGTGCCTTCCCCACCAGCCTGGGGAGGACCCACTTCTGAGATCCCTGAATTGCCCCATGGATATTGGAAAATACTGCAGGAAATACTGTGGAGTATTACAGATGCATGCTTTATACAAAAGAACACTAGTTCCCAGTGCAGGGTATCAGGAGAGCAGGGCACTTCTGGTCCTAGAGAATCGTCAAACCCTTTGATCCTCACTCGAATGCTACAACTGCTGTTAGAGGTTCTCTCAACCCTCTTCCCAATGGGGACACAGTGTCACAGTGTGTGTGTGTGTGTGTGTGTGTGTGTGCGCGCGCGCGCGTATTGCTGATTCTTATTACCCTTCATGTGTTTCTCGTAATATCTTTTTTCCCCTCCCTGAGCCTAGGTTCATCATCTGTGAGGTGACAGTCAAGGACATTTGGGCATGCGATAGGATGAGGAGGGTAATTCCTGAGCACTGCATGTGCCTCTCCTCGTGGGTCTTGTTATACACTGTTATGGTAGACAAGATTCCAGACACAATGGGTACCCACCACACGCTGGCTCCCAGAAGACGGCATGATTGTGGATTTTCCTGGTTCCTCGGGATTCAGAGCCATGTTGGATTCTGAAGGGCTCATTTCTGCCTTGATCACGGCAATTTTCTTTGACAGAGTCTTTTTGATGTGGTTCACTCTAAGGAAATGACCCTCTGGATCAGTTCTGGCTCTCCACCCCCCAGTACCCCCAGGTGGTCTGTGGTCTTAGCAGTTCTGGTTTAGAGCCTCAATGACACTACCATCTTGTCGTGTTATCTAGGGCGAGCCACACCACTCTCTGGGAATTAGTTTCATATTTCATACAAGGGGGCCACCTTGCCTATCGGGCTGTGGAGCTCAGATGAGGTCAGCTATGAAAGGGCTTTGCAAACTGTAAGGAACTGTTGCTGGTTTTTTAAGTCCAGCTGACTATTCTTTGAAAATGGCTCACCAGTTGGCCCTGCCACCCTGCTCCTCTTCTTTCTCACCTGGGATATCCGGTCACAGCCAAGTCCCATGTCTCTGATGGCTCCTCATCACTTGCCCTGGCTCAGCCTGGCTTGGGCCCCAGGCCTCCTGACTCTCCCTCTCTTGGTCTGTGCTCCACCCCAAGCTCATGCTTTTCTCCCCAAATTAGCCTGCTTCCATGGCTCCCAACTCAGGATTAAGCCCAAGACGACCCCCCACTCCACCGACCCCTGAGCCAAACTCTGGCCTGACCTGTGGTAACTCTGCTTTTCTCACTCTAGGCTTCTAGCCAACAGGCTTAGCCATTTCAAGAATCTTTCTGAACTGACACAGAGGGCCTTTTTCACCTTTACCTTTGGCCATTATCTGCCACTCTCAATGCAACTAACGTTGCATGATGTCACTGGGGATTCCGCAACCACGTCCTAGGGTCTGCATAGACCACTTTACACCAAACAGCGAGTGCTCTGGCCCCCCAGATCCACTATAGACAGTACCCTGGGGACTCTGCTGTCTTCTCCAGGGATGCCACTCCCTCCTTTGCCTTCTCCTCTGAGATTTGCTGAAAGCCCCTGTCGCTCGGGGCTGCTTGTGACTCAGAATAGTCCTGGTGGCCTTGGATTGTGGTGACCATGTGTGATGCCTCTTTCCCTTGCCAGGCCCTGAGCTCCTGTCTTTGCCCTCTCCGTGCCAGAACCACAGCCAGGCCTGCTGAGTAGCAGGCTCCGGGAGAGGCTGGCTGGTGGGTTTTAACTCCAGTACTCACATGAGTGGGATGAGGCAGAGAAAGAGCACAGTAGTTGCAATGACTCCATAGACAAGGCCCCGGAAGAGCCCGCTGATGAAACTCTGGGTAGCCAAAGGACTCTTTACTGGAAGTAGACAACATATGAGAAAGGCTTCTCTCCCTCGACCTTCCAATTGAAGCTGAAGCTCTGCTTCCTCCCCTGGCCCCAGTGCCCATCCCCATCCCACTCTTCCTCATCCTCACTTGACATCAGTATGATATTCATAGCATGGTTTCCATAGTCGTTCTTCCCCTCACAGAGAAGGGGTGTACCCATGTCTGGCATCTCGGTCAGGCTGATGGTGGTGTTGCTCCAGGGGGCAAGGATGGTAGAAGTCACCTGGGGGTTGTCTATACCAAGGATATCACCTTCCAACCACCACTGCACAGAGGGCGCGGGAACCCCATGGAAGGAGCAGCTGCACTGTAGAATCTTCTGCAAAGAGCAAGAGGAAGAGACCAGCTTCGCAGGTTCTGTGGGGAGGGAGGATCAGGAATCAGCAAGGCATCCTGACTTCCCTTCTTCACTTTCTCCAGGATCCAGCCTTCTCCTTATTTGTGATTCACAAGAAACTTTGAAAGACTTTCTGGAGGCCCAGAGGAGTTGAGCCTCACAGACCTCTCTCCTCACCTGGCCTGAACCTGGAATTTTCTGGGAATCTACATTGCATACAATCCCTTATCTGCCCCCCTAGGCTAGACTTCCTAGTCTCAGCCCCTATTTCCCCTCTCTTCCTCCCATCTCCACTCTCCCCCTGGGCTCTGCCCCTTCCCTGCTCCATCTGTGATCAATTTCTCCCTTCATCACTTACTGCCTGGATGCTGTGGGGCAAATCACTTCCCCCCTCTAGTCTGGAAAATAGGGATGCTCACTGAACCTGTGTCATACTATCGTTGCTGCAGGGATGAACGCCCTCATGTTTGCAGAATTTCTAGCTCAGTGTGCAGTCAAGCATTACCCATTCAGTAAACAGATGCCTTCTTAGAGTTTCTTCTTCCCAACCCCAAGTGGACATGGCTTGAGCATTCATCTAAGGCAAAGACTGCTGTGACACCTTTTGGGTAACAACATCTGACCCTGCCTCACTCTACAAAGAATAGGTGGGACATATTGTCCACCTGGTGAATATCATGGCTTAGTGAGTTGTCAGTCCTTAGTGTTTTTGTGTACTTTTTCATTGGTGTTGGCTGAGGTTACTGGAGGAAAGGGGTCATTTCCCCCTAAACAATAACCCTGGATCTTGGTCTTTCATCTGGGTCACTTGAGGTAATGAGGAATTTGCAGGCCTGATTATGGGTGATGTGTAGCCTGTCCTCCACTGCTGTTCTCTAGATTATTTATTTTTTCCATCTGGGAAAGCGAGCTTGTGGAATGCCCGACTCCTTGTGAGCTCCCAGCGAGTGCCAGTGAGATCCGAAACAGCTCCTTGTGCTCTCTTATCTGCAGACCACCCTCACCTCCCACTCCTCTCCCTGGCCCAATCTGCTACTTGCCCCGGACACCACCAGCCCCGCCAGAACCTGACCCACAGATGTCTGATCCGGATTGGTTATCTGATATCCTGCACCCTCGTGTTCTCTTTCCTTGTGCTCCCAGAGCCCTCAGCTTCCTCAAACACCCCAGCGTCGCTTCTCTCCACCACTCACCCAGGCCTTTGGGCGGCGCCACCTGCTGCAGCATTGGCGGCTCTCAGGGACCGGAGAAGCCCAGGGCCTTTCCTGCAGCCAGCTCCGACCTCAGAACTGTGTAGTTCAGAAGGGATGAGAAGATGAGTAACTGAAAGAAGATGTGGGGATACAGGGAGCAGAAAGTATTCTTTTTTAAAAAATATACATTTTTATTAATTTTTAGAGAAAGAGGAAGGGAAAAGGGTAGAGAGATAGAAACCCCAATGAGAGAAAAACATCATCAATCCACTGACTCTTGCATGTCCCCTACTGGGGATTGAGCACACAAGCCAGGCATATGCCCTGACCTCTTGGTTCCTGGGTCAATGCTCAACCATTGAGCCATACCGGCTGGGCCAGAAAGTATTCTTAGCAAGCCAGGAGTTTCTGTCTCTTTAGTCATCCTGAAGGCCAGTCCACCCGGAGAAGCAGGAATTATATGGGGAATGCTCAAGAATATCTAGGGACAGGGCAGCCCCCACCAATCCCCTGTGAAACCAGGTCTCCTTTCTTCTCTCTCCCCTAGTCTTTTACTCCCAGTCCCACCCCCCTTGGAGGGATTCTATTACCAGATCCTTTGGGTTCCCTCTAAAAGCTAATGGAGATCCATGGGAGGCTTGTGTACTATGGAGGGACAGGATCAGGTCTGCAAGTTCCAAATATCCCACTGGGGCCCATGTGAGAGTCAGCTGGTAGGGGAAGCGACTTCCCAGGTAGTCAGAGAAGAGACTGGTGTGCTGGTATGGAATGAATGACACTCTGGAGATGGTGCATGGGCTGTGAGGGATGGAGAGGAGGGGCCAGACTTAGTAGACCTTTGGAAGAAGAAAAATGAACAGGAATTACTACTGCTGATAGGAAAAGTTCCAAACTTCCTTGCTATGCAAATAAGGTTCTCTACAATTTGGCTGCACCCATGCCTCATCTCCCTCTGTGCCTTTTCCAACATTCCCCATGCCTTTTTAAAATTTCACTGTTGATTATTCAATTTTTAAGAATGTTCATAGATGGCTGTAAACACATTCATTATTTAAAAAGTAAATTATATAAACCTATGGTTAAGCAAATTATATTAAGAACAAAGGTAATAATTACTCAAAACCAATTACTTCTAATTTTTCTAATACATTTTACTGTTTTCAGTGTTCTTGAGGTTGCGTAGATGTATTATATCTGTAGGATGGAAATATTTCCTAACTCTACATCAGGGGTCCTCAAACTTTTTAAAGAGGGGGCCAGTTCACTGTCCCTCAGACCGTTGGAGGGCCAGATTATAGTTTAAAAAAAAACTATGAACAAATTCCTATGCACACAGCGGCGGCAAAAACACCCGGCGGGCCGGACAAATGTTTTCGGCAGGCCGCATGTGGCCCGCGGGCCATAGTTTGAGGACCCCTGCTCTACATCATGGTTGGTAGCTAGAAATGGACTATGGGGAGAGTATTTACACAGTGGAAATAGGAAATACTGTAATTCAGGGCTTCCCCTGCCTTTGGAAATCTG